GAATCCCACCATTATCTCCCTTCAATATCTCACACGGAGACTTCTAATCCAGCACTCTCGAGAGCATTCTGTTGATCAGCGCTGCTGCGGTCAACACTGCTTGTCCCCATAATGTTTCTGGGACATTCATAGAGATCATCATGCTTCTAGCAACCTCTAAGAGATGTCGGTTCTTCCTTTCCGCTACCCCATTCTGAGCTGGTGTGTATGGACAGGTAGTCTGGTGATGTATTCCTTGAGCTGACAAATATTCTTCAAACGTTCTGTTAATATACTCTGTCCCATTATCTGACCTCAATACTTTCACCACTGCTCCGTATTGAGTCTGAACAGTCCTATGAAAGTTTTGAAAGTACCCAAACACATCACTCTTATTCTTTATCAGGTATAACCAAGTAACACGAGAAAAGCAATCAATAAATGTAACAAAATATTTGTATCCATTCATAGAACTTGTGGAACAAGGTCCCCAAACGTCTGAATGTACTAAGTCAAATGCATGAGAACTTCTATGACCAGAACTAACATAAGAGCTTCTAGTAAGCTTTCCAAACTCACATGCATCACACACAAGTTTCTGTTTATTTGCTTTCTCAAATAAAGAAGGATACAATCTACCTAAAACACTAAAGGATGAGTGTCCCAAACGCTGGTGATGGAGCATTAACTCATTTTCAGCACTCATTTTAGATCCTACTCCTGCTTTCTCTACGACTGACACCAACGCTGAATCCAGCCCTTCACGATCCAGATACCACAGTCCACTACGCCATGTGCCAGTCCCAAGTCTCCGCCCTGTCCCCTTCTCCTGGAAGATTACCTTGGGAATATCAAAAGAGACGATGCATTCGACTATCCATGCTGATGATCTGTCAGGAGACATAGAAGCAAGAGCATGTATGTCATCAGTACCTTTGTTCGGATGAGCATAAGTAGCAGTATTGCCTCTGGCGAAGAATGAAGTGGATGCCTCCTCAGTTCCATCCCCTGCTACTTGCTACTTCTTCCTTAGTATCGCCAGGAGAGCACGATCCTCCTCAGTAAAGACCACCTCAGCTTCTTCTTCCTCTGCTACCGTCAGATTTGCCCGGTTTCCTGCTCCTCTTCCACCTCGTCGACCCCCACGGCCACGACCACGACCTCCGAACTGTCCACGTCCACCCGAATCTCCTTCCTTGGATGGCTTGGTGCAAGCATGCCTTAGATGACCTACCGCACCGCAGTTGTAACACTGTCGGGTCTCTCCCCTAGATCCAGTGTTGCTAGAGGCTGCCAGTGCTGACTTCACCACAGGAAGTCCACATGTCCCCGCCTGTAGCCGAATGCGAGTCTCCTCCTGGATCATAGCAGAGATAGCCTCCTCCTCAAGCGGAATCTTTGGCTGAGCTAGCAGCAATGCGATTCGCTGAGCGAACTCTGATGTCAATCCTTTAAGAAACACCATAGTCCTCTCTTGTAGAAAGGCCTCCCGCTCTTTACATCCCGGGTCCTTGCAGCTAGCCCGGGGAGAAAAATGATCATAATCCAGCCACAGACGCTCCAGCCCTGTAGCATATTCCTGTACACTCCTCTCTCCCTGGACTGTGGCGTCGATCTCTCCTTTAATCTGGAATACCCTCAGGTTATTCCCCACTCCATCATATGTCCTCCTCAATTTCTCCCAGACGTCCTTCACATTCTCAATGCCATCCACCGTGGCGGCGATCGTCGGGACCGAGTTGAGAAGCCAGATGTACACCAACATATGAGTGGACTTCCACTCATCTCTTCCCTCCGAGTCCTCCTCAGGTTCTGTCGCCTCTCCTGTCAAGTAACCCTCCAGGTTCCTCCCTGCAAGGGTGTATCTCACCCGCCGCGACCAGCTCAGGTAAGTACTCGGTCCATCAATCTTCAGATCGATGGTCGGAAGCTCCAACTTCTTCGATGGTTTTGTCGCACTCTCACCAGCCGACAACTTCATTAGCTTCATCAAAGTTGACACCTCCGCGGGGTTTAACTTCTTGATGATCTCCTCCATCGAATAGGCTTCAGACCCACCACCTGTTCACCTTGTCTTCCGACCCTTATTGTGTGCAGTAAAAATTTCGGCAGCACCTCTACTGCACAACAAGAGTAGGATCTCAAACAAATTCTTGTTTCTCAGAGGAAACAAGAACCAAAAACAGTTACATATCTCATCGCTGTGAGATATATACTCTTCCTGTCATCAGTTCGAGGACTGAGTCAAGATAACATGAGCTTATATAGGCCCCTACAACTTACAAATAAGCCCCTAAACCTATTAATATTTCAACACTACTAAAACTAAAATAACTACTAAACTGAAAATCAAAATCACATACCAGGGATCTGATACAACGCTGAAACATGGCGTCTCCTGCGCTGATAAACACGGCGAAAATCCCATGCACGTGCCTGGATGTCCGCATCACATATCCTCTAGCATAATAAGCCTGATTCATATCTTTTAACATTACAAGTGCTTGAAATTAAATTTCCTTTTACTTACCACCTCTCTTCAATTTAGAAGCATGCCACTTGTAGTGCTTGCCCCTTCACAACAGAAACTACATCAGACTATCAATCCCTCTTTTCCAACCAGTCGGGTAACTCATAAGGTACAGAGCTCTCTAGGTAGTTTCCAAAAATAGAAGAAAGTAATTCTCTAATTTAGAAAAGGAAATGCTTGGTTGAATGCTTCTTCCATCCAAGAAACTCTTCAACCAGGTCACAGAGGGGTCATCGGATCACTTGATACTATTACCCATAACAAAACTTCATTCAGAACTCAATCTAAGCAAGGACAAAGGTCTTCGTGTAGGCTGGCTCAAGTGGTGTTTCAAGCTCTATATCTCTCAATAAATTATTCTCAAATCAAAATTTCTAAGCAAATATTCACATTCAATGATTGCACATCATTCGAAATGCATGATTTCTAAATATGAATTTAAATGCTAATAAAAGAGTAATTCTTTAATCAAAGAGTGACCACCCTAATCAAATAATTACAACAACAACAAAGTCTTTATCCCAAATGTTTGGGGTCGGCTAACCCTAATCAAATAATTCATATTCAATAATCAAATAAAATCTCATAGATTGAATCAATTAGAAACACATTTTAGTATCTAATGTACTCTTGAGAAATACAAATCTAAACTAAGATTAAGGAAAAGAATTTGATTTAAACTCAGATTTGAACTTATTGATGAATACAAATATTGATACCTGAATATTCAACTTGATTTCTAACACAGTGCTAATTAGTAGGTCAATAAAGCAATAAAGCAATATTAAGCAGGCAATTCTTTTGATTGTATTGTAGGTAATAATGTTCATTTTGACCATCTAATTTCTCTCCGACTTCTTAATGGCCAGGCCCACTATTCAGTTTTCCCAGGCTCTCCATGTTTCTTTGTAAATGGCAACCACTGCCATCTGAATCCCACCATAAGGGAGAGTATCAATGTTGATTTTAGATCACACAGTAGCAATCGAGAACCACTTATACACAGTTTTCCCATGTAACATCTAATAGAGGGCAATATGTTATCAATGTACTATAGGTTCAGAATTAAATCATGTTTCCTTATTGTTCAAGGAACTCTAGATCTCTTATTTCTCTAACTCTCTATATCATCTGATGAATAACATCTGCCCCGATAACAAATATTGAGGGATCTTGTTCACAAGTCCACTTACGCATCATCTTTCTTTGCTAGTGTCACCCTTGATCAAAATCATGAACTAAGTTGATTCTACACCTGCAGTCATTTACCTTATCATTTTACATTAAAATTATTGACTATATTTTCTCGATGAAACACTCCTATTCAGACTCTTCTAAATTCGGCTTAGTAAGTAGGTAAACCTTTCTCCAATAAAGATAATTGCTTCACTACTCATGCTCGCTAGCCTATCTAAATAGATTTACCTTCAATCAAACAAATTCTATGGTCCATCGCATGCAAATCAAGCATCACTTTCAAATTTTATTTATTTATTTATTTATTTTTTATTTTTTTTTTGGTAACACGAAGTATCAAGATAGGCTAATAAGTGACAAGTGAAGCTTGCTGTGAAATTTAAGCAAGCAAATAATTGGATGTTTCCTTATCAGCACAACTACTTGTGACTGCATACGGTATGTTTAAGGGGTTTTGGCCAGTTGTACTTCCCACTTACATCATTGTGCTTTTTTTTCAATTTTTAAAAAGGCTGACGGTAACTACTATCCTGTCTCAAACGTTCTTGGTGCAGCTATCCGATATATGACATGCCAACAAGTGTAATGCAACCATTTTAGATGCACAAGAGGCTGACTAATAATTTCATGGGATATAGTCTATTTGTTGCCGTTATCCAACCCGGTAAGATAGCTCTCGACTCCGGGATCAATTTTGTGCATTGTAGCACAGAAACGTTTTATCTTAAATCCCAGGCATCTTGGACATGATTCTTACGTGTACCTTTTAACTTCTTTTATGTGTCTTCATCATATTTATTTGGGTGCAGCACAAATTGGCAATCATATGGACTGAATAGGTTATATCCTTTAAACAAATAATGGAAAGCAAATGTGCTTTATGGGTTGAATAAGGAATGAACAACAGCTTATATCATTAGATTCATTACTACCAATTTTGTTCAATATGTTAGTGAATTGCTTAATGATCGTTGTAGTTCATTATCTTGAACCTGAATACAAGCTTGGTCTTATTTTCATTTTCAGATTCCGAATACCATTTCTCTTGGGAACAGGTTACCAAGATATGACACTGAATTTTTCTTGTTGAACAGATTGACTACATATAACGACCACGAACATGAAAACAAAGAACAGTCATAAAAGAGATCTTGGAGAACAAGATTAACATGCACTTACAATCGTCAAGAAAAGGAAAACGAAAGCTGAGACTGACGAAAAATATAAAAGATGTACAAACCATAAGCAAGTTATAATGAAGATAAGCCAAAAGGGAACATAAATTGACTCTTACCTTCTGTAAAAAATAACTAGCAGCATTAGGGAGTGACTCCAGTTCTCTTCTTCGGCTATATGTAGCTTGAACAGCAGCATCCTTCCATAATTCCTCAACAGTAGGTGCATATTCACGAGTAGCAGCAGGAAAAATAGCTTCTAGATTGCCAGCTGCCATAACTTTGAGAAGCCAATCAGAGAATGCCTTAAGTCGTGGGCTGATGGAGTACACAGTCACGCCATCACATTCCTCAGAGACATCGCTACCTGCTATCAGCAAGCTTTCTGTATCAGATGATTCTAAATATATAACTGAAAAGAAACATTAAGCATTATTTACTCAGTTTAGTTGTAAAACTGTCAAAAGAGCACTTTAAAACACAATCCTGAAACTAAGGAAACTTGTTATTTCAGCTGACCACCAATCAGCATTAACCAATAGGACACACATCATAAATACATGTATAAATGATTGACAACATTTTCTTTTACAAGAAAAACTGGAAATGTGCTCGTAACTTAACAACCTTCTAAAAGAATGCTTATACTTCAAGCCTCACACTTAATGACTAACACAAATAAAAAAATGTAATACGGTAGATAGCCAAGTGCAACCAGAAAGTAAATATGAAAAGCCAGAGATATATAATTTTCTGAAGAAGAGGGTAATGTGAATCGGAGTGCATAATACCTGTCTTGCGAGAAACACATGAATTCCTTTTCGCAGCCAGACTCTCTTCTTCAAACCGCTCACGCCCCTCGAGCAGTATACCAAGATAGCTATATATGCTGCTTTGAATCAACTGTTTAATACTTCGGCGCTCGTCCTCTGAGAAAGGCATAGGTTCATACAAAAACTTTGCCTGTTATAAATATCAAAAGTATTTAGAACAAGAAATGCAACTATCTTGACACCACCTAGTTACTATGCTAATATAAGAAGTGAGAACAAATGGCAGATAGGTACATATATTAAGTGCCTTTTTGCAGATTACAGAGAAGATAACACAAACAATTGAGATCAAAGAATATAAAGATAGCATGGATGTTTACTTTTAAGATATATTGGAAGGTGACCAAAATATCATGACCACACTAGTGCATCAAACCTCAGACTTTGTGTAAATTTGGATGTTTTACACATCCAGAAGAAAGATGCTAGTCATCACAAACTAAATTGCTTTTAAGACGAATGTTGAGAATTTTAAAATTCTACATTATCAACATCATCAGGGAAGTAAAGAAATTTGAATTTAGCCTAAAGCAAATGTCTAAGCCACAAGTTGGCATGTAGCATATCGACTTTTAAGTCCAAATCTTCCAGTTGACACAAATTCTATCCATAACAACCAACATTCTTACAAGGTTCAAAAAAGAAAGAAACTGGTGGAAAACTACGATGTTCATTATCACACGAAGAATATTGATATCTCATTATTCAGTCACTAACCAACATAATTAATTTGCCTCCTTCAAATTGAGGACTAGCTATAAAAAACCTAACATTTTATCACAAAATACACAAAAGGAAGACTTCAGTTAATTATTCAAAAAAAGTGGAAAAACATTTAAAAATTACAAGGAAATTCAGAGAAGAAGTTCCTCTACAAGAACTGAAATGCAATATAAAAGACTGACAACAAGTAGTTCATAACTTCATTAATACCTGTTTAAATATAGTACTTGTCCCTGACCCATCAGAACCAACCAAGAAGAACTTCTGAAGCGTTTTGTGCTCAAAAAAGTTAGGAAATGCTGCACTAAGCATGTTATTTACTTCTTCCCCAGCACGATTTGCACCCTTACCAGGAACAGGCAATGATAGAATTGAGCATAGAAGTCTTGTGCTAGCCTGGCCGAACAAGAAAAAATAATATCAACTTGAACTTAATCAACTTTATAAAGGAACATTATAAAGAGGAGGAGGGGTCTGTGAAATTTAGGCCACCTTGATCCACAGCTTCCCCTTTATATCATTCTGTCCCTCCTCCCGATACGATCCATCAGGATCTACCCAAAAGTGAGGAGTTCCGGCACATGGAACTCCTGCCCACTGGATCAATGACACTCATTAAAACTGCTGACATAACAAATGTTAATATAAGTACTCTATGTTCAGAGTTTAAACCTTAAGCATCTTCAACTCATCTTTTGTTATCTCGCGATTATTTATAATGATCCCAGTATTCCCATTGCTTGCATTTTGCATGAGATTGCCTCCCACGTTGAGATTTGCAGTAATGATCTTGTCAGGTTTGTGACCTTCCTGTTAATATAAAAGAGCACTTTATTGAAAAGAATCATACTTAGATCATTTCATCCTATTAAGCTAGAAGAACATAAACTACACCATGAGAACTAAAGGAATCAATATTAAGCTGAAGCTTTTTTTATATTTTCTGATTCCATGAAGACCTCAGGATTGAAGACTAACCGAACGATATTTAGTCACTCTCTAACTTCTCTAGTGGACAACTATTTTGGTTAGAAAAAATTGATAACAAGAAATCAGGTATTTAGTCAATAATTAATGACCAAAAACTAAAGAAATGATCATATATAAAAGCTTAAGTCAGTTACAGAACTCCAGTTTGTAACTTAGAATCCTCTTTTTCAATCAGCTATGAAGCACGGACACGCATAACATGAAGCCGTGTCGTGTCGTGTCCGTGTCGGACACACGTGTCGAACACACGTATCCTATGTATTTTTTAGGATTTGCCTCGTGTCGGCGTGTCGGATGGCCGTGTCGGATCCGTGTCTGTGCTACATAGTCAATCAGTACAGAAAAAACTGGCACATGACACCATGCCTGAAGAAAAATAAATAATTTAAAATCTAGAATATTGCACTCAATTAAGAGTTACTATAGCCTTGAAGGGCTTAAAAACAATTACTGAGCTCCACCAAACTTGTAATTTAACTCATCCAATGCATGCACCAAAGCAGCATACTTATCTTTTTTCTCTACTATACTAACAGAATAAGTATCATTAGAATTGAAACACTTGCACATAATTAAAATGCAAAATTTTCATGCATAATTTATTTTTTTTTCCTTCATGAGTGCAATGACATTGCAATAAAAAGTCTTGCGTGATGCAAAGGTAGGAACTATTTCACTATTTCGACAATAAAGTTACAAGCTTCAAGGTATTTGACTAATTTCAAAAGCTAAAGAGAAATTAACAGGAGCAAATCAATCTAGAATTCAATAAAAACGTCACCTTCCCCCAATATCCTGACATCTTATCATACCAATAATACCCAGGCTTCAACCTCAGCAGTGGACAAGCGCAACTCTGCAGCAAAACCATCTCCTCCTGTGTCAACTGCTGCCGATTCACAAAAACATCCTCAGCCCTTAACTGATTAGTTCCACAATACTTCTCTGCCTTCATCGCCTGCTCAACCTCCAACGAACTAAACAGCCTCTTCAGCATTCGCGAGCTCTTCCCCAATTTCTCTCTATTCGAATCCTCGATCGGGCTCCCAATACAAGCAATGCACTTCCTCCCCTCAGGCATCGATCCCATCGCTCTCATGACACATTTAATACAATACCTCGCATCGCAAACCAAGCAAGCCTCTTTCTCAGTGAACCAGTTCCCTTTCAAACAACGAGAGCAGCGTCCTTTCTTCGATCTCTTCGTTGTATCTTCAGCAGAGGATGATGAGGCTTCACCAAATGCGACGACCGCTGTCCGGTTCTCCTCCACGTCACCATCATCAACGGAGGGGGAGGACTCTAAGTCTTCGTCTTCGTCTAAGTCGGAGGTGAAGGAAGAATCGGTGACCTTGAGCTCGCTGGAGAAATTGAAGTTGAGATTTTGATCCTGTTCTTGATCGGGCAGGCGTTTCTTCAAGGGCAAAGGTTGGACAACGGGGAGAGAGTCGAGGGCGGGTGCTGACGTGGCGACAGAGGCGACAGGGATTTTATCAATCTCAATGGGGCTTGCTTTAGGGATATCGAAGGAGAAAAGCGGTCCGCTGTATTCAATGGCGAAGGAGTACTCGGAGTTGGCGGTAATCGCCATTATCGTCTCCATTGAGAGAGCGGAACCCTAGAAATTGGAGAAATCTGGAAATTTCGCCATTTTGGGGGCATTTCTGAGCCCTAGAAATGGAGGCAGGAAGTGAAGACTCTTGACTCTTGAGTCTTGACCCGAGAGCGCGAAAGGGGAGACGTAGTGACGCCGCGATGAGTTTGACTGGGGTGGGGCCCACAAGGGGAGCGGTTGCGTGTCTTGATTTCCGAGGTATTCCACGTGGGGTCAGCACGTACTGGACTTTAAAAGGACGAGTCGCGGTTTGATCGTGTCAGAATTGTCGTCGTCCACTGTGTCTGGACCAGGGATTGCTGGATCGTTAGAAGCAGAAGGTTTTGGGCCAAATTTTTGGATCAAAAGTTGTAACAGAGAAGAAAATTTTTAATACAGAAGAACCCCAAGTGCAAAAGGATTTCGAGTTTTGTGGCTACATGGATTCAGATCAGGGGGTGCAAACTAATATTTGTATCCACGTGTATGTCTGTATTAATGTCCGCTAGTATATGAAAACGATTACTAAATATTTATATCCAGTGGCGGACCTGTTCTTGTTCAAAGTGGTTCATTTGAACCACCTCAGATTTTGAAATAGTATATATATCATATATGTTAGTTTGTGAACAAATGTAATTTGTAGCCTAATGGTATAAGCATTAGCTTACCTTCAAAGAGGTCAAAGGTTCAAAACCTCCTACACAACCTCTTTATGTTTCTAATTTCTCCTATAATCCTTATTTTCTCTTTACTTTTCTACTTTCTCCTATTTTCTCTTTATTATTATTTGTTTATTATTTTTATGCTTTCCTTAGTAGTATTTGAAAAAAAAATTAGCGTTAATTTCGAACCACCACACGAGAGGTTGTGGATCCGCCACTGTTTATATCTAATAGAATATGGTTAAGGATATATATATATATATAGTAAAAAAGCTAAACCAACATCTGATATATTCTAATATATATTGCTCATACTATTGCAATTGTTTTGATCTTATATTTATGAACTACAGATAATTTTGATGATCAAGAGATTTGATCTTAGTTTTTCGAATATATAACAAACATATTAATGAACTCTCTTTGTATCATATTAACAAAAAAAATTTCAATCTCATCTAGCCTTCTCCTATCAGTTTCATATTTGCATGATACCTGCATGTGTGTCTGTATCCATTTTAAGCCAATATAGATACGAATTTTCCATATTGAGATATATTTGTATTTGTATCCGTAAATGTGATTCATAAACAGATACAGATTGGGTAAGTATCATATCCAAGTCATATCTGATCTGTTTTGCACCCCTAATTGAGATACATGTGTTATTTATTTTATATTATTATGATATATAGATATATAGATATAATCATTGGTGAATAACTGAATTAAGATGCGGCTATATAGATATATATATTGATCATAAGGTTCAAAACTATTTTGGGCATGTTTTTACTGAATCTGAAATCGATCTCGTGATCTCAATATCCATGTTTAGGTTTGGACGACTTCTATTAGCAGTCGTGTAGACTGACTGCCGATCTTCACTTGTGATATGGTGATGTCATATGTCCCATTTTTTTAGGGAATAGAATATGGGAATTTTATCTTAATGCCCCTAGTTCTCTAAATTCTTGACCTCTTATATAAATTAGTTGACCTTTTGCATGATAAATTACCCGAGGTTCAAGCTTTCTCATTCCCTTTAATAATACTTTTCAATATCAAACCTATTCTAAAATTCTACTATCCTTCACTATTTGTACAATAACTTAGATACTAAAGATTTGATCCACTTATTTATATTTAAGGATTAATGAAATAAAAATGTAAGTTTCACAAATTATATGAATAAAAAAATCCAAACACTTAATCAAAGAAATCAAGATATAAAATGAAAAAAATAATTGTGACCATCCCTTACTCCAAAATATTCAAATTTTAAGCTACTAATTAAGCAAAAATCATATTTGATAAGAATTTTGTTTCCTTATAGATGATAGCATTTTTCAATATCAAACCTTCGATTGATCAAACTTGCAATGCAATATTACCAAGTGTAAAATTACTCACAAAAAGTTAAATTCTCTAGAACATGTAGTGTTAAGGATGCCAAATCCAAGAAGTGGTATTGAATGTCAATGTGTCTTCCATTGTTGAACCATCTACACCTAAGACAAGTAATTCAAGCTCGTATGATATTTGCAAATATTAATGGAACAAAATAGCTAGTAATTTAGATTTACATTTTTGTGTTGACTGAATGGAAAAATAGCCATTCACATTTAGACTACAGAAATTATATGTGTCCTATGACATACCAAACATATGAAATTACATAGAGCATACATGTAAATTTTTAGTCGTGCAAAATTAACATAAATATGGAATAAGGAAAAATAATCATATCATTCATTATTGGTTGAGATATAGGTTCTATTTAAGCTAAGATTGACTCTCCTTGAGAAGCAAAAGTGTTGCCGTCATTCTAAAATAAAAATATAAACAAAAGAAGTTGTGTTACATAATTCTTATAGCAAATAAAATTAATTCACCATCATTCATACCAATTGTTGCAAATACTTCCGCTTCCTACTGATGACCTCTTTAAGCAATGATTGTACCTTAAACAATTAAAAAAATAACTTCAGTTTATTGTGAAAACATATTAAAATAATTAACATGGAAAAACAAGATAGATCCTAAGGTTCCATACCTTTTTTGCATTATTGTTATTCCTTTTCTTGCTCTTTTTCTCAATTCCCGATTTAATTCTTTAAGCTCCTTTTGTCTTCACAAGTTTTGGATCAAGTATTGAAGTGTCATCATCCACATTGCAAGTAGCATTTGCCTTGTCGATATTTAAATTGTATATTTTGTATTTCTCTGATGCAACTCTTAAGGCATGAGATGCCATATTATAGCTTTCTTAAAAATTTGAGGCTTCTTTATATAGAATTATAGCTTGTTGAAATAGATCATCATAACGATCTTGTCTAGAGTTAACAACTTTTGGTGTTTGGCTTGTGTCACCATTGCTCTCAAATCTTTGGTCCATCGCTTCAAGATATAATGACATGACACATGAAAGATGCCATAACAATGAAGCATACATAACGAGTGTTGACAGAGAAATCCATTGTATTCATAAGAATGACAAAGACAAGAAACTTTCTTCTTATTAATATTCCAACTCACATAAAAGTCTTCTTTTTCTCAAAATCCTTGACTTTACAAATTTGAATACTCTCATCTTGCTCTTTCATTGCATGACACCCAAGAACCCCCAAGATTTCTACTTGAATTTTTTTTAAAGAGTTCATGTGTATAAATAACTGACATTTACCTCTTAAATAAGGATGGGGTTTTCAAAACAGGTTCTTTATGCCAAGTTTCAAAATTTACATGTCATTTCCTTTTTATCCTCTAAATCCACCACATATTTTTAACAAATTCCTTTAATAAATTCTTCTTGTTCACATATTTATCAAAAAAAGAATTGATACTTTCAGATCTTTGAGTAGTTGACATTCCTACAAATAAAATTACACAAAGAAAAAAATGGGCATTTAAATGGCATACTTGATCTTAAACTGTGTATTTTTTTATGTGTGTCTTTAATATATTCCAAATCATATATAAGAATTTTAGATTAGCCTTCAAGTCATTGTAATGGCAATTTT